ATTTCTTTATGTCTTTCAGAGTTTTTTTTATATGTATACTAAATTGATGATCCACAATAAAATCCTGAACCCATGACCTGGTGTTTTGTTCGTCTTTGTGAATAGAACCCTGCTACAGACACATAGAACGACTCAAACTAAAGAAAAACACAGCTATGAACAACTGTGAATACACAATAAATTGGGATCCTGTGGTTTTTCGCATTTTCATAGTGTGCCATTCAAAATTTTGCGGCACACTTAGGAATCACTGGTTGAGAATGACTGGATTAGATAAAGAGCTGACAGTTCTTGCTATATTAGTTAAAAAAATAGATAATGAAAAGGGAATATGTTGAAAATTTTCAGTCAAATTACTTCATTCTGAGCCGAGATATTATCGTTTGAAGAACAGTGTAACCGTTGTTAAGATATTAAACGAAGTCTCAATTATCCATTTTTAAATTAAATCATTAAATGGCCGAACCGTTCTAAATTACTTGGTCTTGTCATGTTAATTAATGTCTAATCAATAATTTATATAACATTTAGGGCCTGATTTAGTTCTTGTATAATGCCTGCTTAACATTTAATTAAGAAAATAAAACCAAAATGTCAAGTGTAGTTCATCATTTTGCTTGAATTTAATCGAATTGCATGACTGATAATGGTCGAAATTTTTTGTATTGATTTGTGCATTTTCAACACTTTATATGTTAAAGTGAGAGAGAAATGGGCTATAACGTCCACTCGACACAAAGTAGGTCATTTTGGGACTAACACATGGTTTAATTTGATTTCAATAATTTGGTTGCACATCCACAGCCTTCGACATTGACAACACAAATTATTTGTCAATTTAAATCAACATTGATGTTGTGATCTTTCTGGGAAAAGTTGGGCTTCTGATATCCAAAATTTAAGACAAAATAAACATTTTACCATTGGTACACGAATCATGTACCATAATGCGTTTCAGCACCATTTGTAACAAGGGACTCAAAGATTGAGGCTAGACATATTCCACAAGTCATGTCAAACAGTGACGCCATATTCTTATCTGGGGGCAAGTGCAATAAATACTATTGGTGTAGACTGGAATAACAGACACTAGAGATTGCCATTCGATTGAGACTTCTGGCGTATTTCACCGAACATAACTGATTAGAAATTACAGTAAAAACAGAAAAAATTGAATGTAAATCAGTTTATATACATTCATATTACATTTATATACCTATTTGTATCAATTTCTCAATTTCTAGGTCCTAAATATTAGCCATTTAGCTCCTTTAAATAATGAAGAATATTGAATCATGGATTCAATCTGATTGCTATTTACGGCTAAAATAATTTGTATTTGTGCATATAAATGAATGTCAATGATTGGACTTGTTTTAACACCTATGAAAATTAAAGGACTATCTCAAAATACAGTGGAATACTTGTGTAATCCTGGGATATTTACGGTACAGTTCTTTTGAATACTAGTGTAATCTTAGGATATTTACGGTAGGAGTTAGGCTTTGTAAAGTTCTTGTAAATATTATTAATAATAGTATTAATCTATTTTCATTTCGTTTGTATTTCAGTTTTAGATTATCAGGTTTTTTTTACCATGCTAATTAAGGACTGTACTTTTTCCATTGTGGTGGGGATCATGTGGCTGAGTGGGAAAGACGCTGGCTCGCTAGCCCGGAGGTCGGGTGTTCGATCCCTGCATTGGCAGTTCATCCAGATTTTCCGGCGTGGTTCCCCCTTGTCCGTGATGCAGGGCGGAGGGCCCGACAAGGACGGCTGTCTAGTCCTTCGGATGAGACAAAAAACCAAGGTTCCGTGTATATATTGGAATGCACGTAAAAGATCCCCTGGCAGTTGGAATTCGATATAAGAGTAGGCGATAGTGCCGCTGCCCGGGCAAAATTTCCCTCATAGCACACTGTATAGTGTATGCCCGTCTTCATTAGCCCAGTATAGGTGAAGAGCAGTAGGACGTTAAACCCCATTTCATTTCATTTGATTATTTTCCACTGTGGTGTGATTAAACATACAGATCTGATCAAAATTTTACGATTAGTTGATTTTGTATTGCTGACTGAAAGTTGGCCTCCGGTTCCTTTACAAGTTGTCCCTATAGGAAGATAGTCTGACTTCAATCAGCAGGTCACTTCAGTAAATGAACCATTTGCGATATCAGTCATTGTTGTGAATCCCTCTTTAGATTTGATTTCTGCTGCCTGTAGTGAAGAGCAGAGTGGGAGGCATCCCGTCAAAGTGTGAAATTAAGTTTTTTTTATGACATGAGATTTATCGTTTTTAATTTTGTTGTACAGGCTGCCCTGTATTAGCGTCTATACATGTACTTCAGTCCTGGGAGCATACAATCAAGGGGTTGGCTTATTGCATTCCCAAACCTCTGCATACCACTCGTTCTCTTGATTTAGTCTATGTAAAAACAAAAGACAAAAATCGATTAAAGGGACAATAACACTCTTGCTGGCTTGATAGCTCCAGAAAATAAAAAAATAGCCTTATTCTAAGTATTAGATGTGTTAGTGTCCTACCTGTTGTGTAAATTATCCATTAAATCCTATTTTACTTGTCCAGAGGGTTCAAAAATATTTTTAAATCCAAGTCACATTTGAAAAGCTTTACGTCAGGCTTTTCAAATCATTTAGTTGAATTTTTCGAATTTTTTAAATTAGGTGTGTTAAGATGAAATTTATATCATCAATTAATTGAAATATTGTAAAATAGTACAATTTGTTGAACAGAATAAAGATTAGGACATATTATTCAGTTACAACAAGAGTGGTATTGAGCCTTTAAATTAGTAAGATATCAAAATGTTACGAGGATTTCCGTAGACTGGGTAGAAAAATATAATGAAATGAACTGAAATGGGGTTTAACGTCCTACTTTTCTGCATCGACTGGGCTAATGAAGATGAGCATAAGGCCTATTCTTATTTCAAATTAACTGTCAAGAGTTCTTTTACGTGCTCGCTGATGTGTACATAAGACTTTGGTTTTTCATCCTATCCGAACAACTATACATTTTCCCTTGTCAGGTCCTCTGTCCTACACCACTGACCAGGGGGGAACCACGCCGGAAAATCCTGATGAATTTTCTCGTACAACACAAGGACCTCCAAATTAGCGAGCCAATGTCTTACTCAATGAACCACCGCGGCTCCAAAAGATATATATAGAGAGAGAAATGAGGTTTAACATCCACCCGACACAAACTAGGTCATTTCGGGACTAACACATGGTTCAATTTTATTTCAATAATTCGCTTGCGCGTAGGGGTCTTTAGCAGTGGGAGGAAACCAGAGGACCCGGTTGGACAGGCTACCCTATTCCTTGTCACGTACAACCGGGGAATTGAAACCCCACCAGTTGACTCAATGACAGACCGTATGATACAGCACGCACGTGCTAACCATTCGGCCATCCACCCCCCCCTCGAAAGATATAATGAATTGCTTCTATAAGTAAGTGCAGGAGGAACACACTACCCACAAAACAAATCTTTGAACAAGTCAAACATTGCAAGAAAGAAACAATAAAAATTCTATTAAGTGAATGGAGCCTGGGGCTGGACTGCGCCGTACAGTCCCGAGCCTGTAATTATACAGGCTTCACTCAAAATGAAAAATATCATTAAAGGAGTTAAATCGCTAATATTTGGGTCCTAGAAATTGACTCAAATGGGTCGCAACACATATAATAATGTAATCTGATTGTATATAAACTGATTTACATTCAATTGTTTTCGTTTTGACTCTAATTTCAAATCAGTTATGTCCAGCGAAATATGGCATGAGTCTCAACCGAATGTCAATTTCTAACGTCTGGTTATTCCAGTCTTTTGCGCATGCTTTCCAATAAGATATGGCGTCACCGTTTGACAGGAGCTGTGGGATATGTCTAGCCTCGTTCTTTCTGGTCACTTGTTACAAGTGACGCTGAAACGCACTCTGGTACACGATTCGTGTACCAATGGTAAAATGTTTATTTGTTCTTATATATTGGATATCAGAAACCTACCTTTTGCCAGTAAGATTACAAAACCAATGTTAATTTCAATTGACAAATAGTTCGTGTTTTCAATGTCGAAGACTTTGGATGATATTGAGTTAGAGACTTAGCTAATTTGATTTATTTTCACTTTTTGGCATGCAGTGAACTAAAAGATATTTTTTGTTGATGATATTTAGATAATTTTACAAGATATTGTCTCCAAAAATTACATTTGAGAAAATCTTCCTGACTAGAAATTTTAATTAAAGGGACGTTTTGTTCCATGAAGTTGATTCAGTCTTTTAAGATATGTTGGACGTGGTTTCAGAATCTATCATTCCGGCTTTCCAAGCACTAACCCCTGTCCATTATGTAGTGCTAGTAATTTGAGGTACAGGAAGATCCTGGTATGCAGCCTAAATGTTTCTGGAAATTGCTCGGGAGGTGGTGTGGCCAAGTGGTCTGGTGCATGCCCTGTTGATCATAACCTCCTTTTATCTAGACGAGTCATGAGTTCTCTCCCAGGCTTGTATGGGACAAGGAGAAAGGACATCTGCCTAATTCTGTGATTAGGAATGTCTTGTTTTTTGAATAGACTCATCAATGTCATTTTGATCAGCTTCACTGGTTAATTTGGTGGCATTTGATTAGTGAATGATCCAGAAACTGTTTGTTTCATCTCCAAGGCAGTGTACTATGAGGGATATTATTTCCGGACGGTTGCACTACAACCTTCTCTTATTTCGAATTCCAACTGTGTTAGTCCCGAAATTACCTAGTTTGTGTCGAGTGGATGTTAAACCCTCTCTCTCTCTCTCTCTCTCTCTCTCTCTCTGTCTCTGTCATATCCCTTTAATTAAGAAGAGATTGACTCAGCAGTTTATATATTCCAGGATTCCATTATTCTTAGAATAATTTCTTCATCTCTAGACAGATATTCAGATACATGTGGTTCTTACATTTTATGAAACATTTATGAATTTTGTTTATTTTCAGGATTAAACAATGAACTCAAAGCAGTCTTCCGAGGTCCCAGACCAGTTATTTGACAATATTTATGATTTATTAGAAGTGGAGGGCAAGTAAGTGTTATTTATTTTTTTATTGTGTTATATTTTGTTATTCAATAATTGTTATACATAAACAGAATCTACACTGAATATAAATGTAGAACACACACATATATATATTTACATAAAGCAGTAGTTATCTGTATTATTTATATTATGTAATATCAGTAACATAGTTTTTATACATTAACATGTAAATATGTACAGAATCTACGCTGAATATACATGTTTAAAACACACACAAATATATATTATATTTACATATAGCAATAGTTATCAGTATTATTAATGTTATGTAATATCGGTACCTTAAATGTAAAACACAGACATATAGACTAGTACTATATTTACATAAACCAATAGTTACCAGTATTATAATATATATTGTGTAATACCGGTAACATAGTTTTCATACTTTAACATGTACAGAATCTACGCTGAGAGAGAGAAATGGGGTTTAACATCCACTCGACACAAACTAGGTCACTTCGGGACTAACATATGGTTTAGCAGTGGGAGGAAACCGGAGGACCCGGAGAAAACCCATGAGGTTGGACAGGCGACCCTACTCCTTGTCGCGTACAACCGGGGAATCGAAACCCCGCCAGTTGACTCAATGACAGACCGTATGATACAGAGCGCGCACGCTAACCATACAGCCATCCAACTCCCCAAATCTGCGCTGAATATACATGTAAAACACAAACATATATAGTGTAACCTGGTATCGGGGGGTTGGATGGCCGAATGGTTAGCACGCATGTGCTGTATCATACGGTCTGTCATTGAGTCAACTGGCGTGGTTTCGATTCCCTGGTTGTACATGACAAGGAGTAGGGTCGCCTGTCCAACCTCGTGGGTTTTCTCCGGGTGCTCCGGTTTCCTCCCATTGCTAAAGAGCCCTACGCGCAAGCGAATTATTGAAATAAAATTAAACCATATGTTAGTCCCGAAATGACCTAGTTTGTGTCGGGTGGACGTTAAACCCCATTTTTCTCTCTCTCTCTCTCTCGTAACCTGGTATCCTTTAATCTTGTGTATCTAGCACTAATTTCATTCTTATTCATTTAATTTCAAATCTTTGTTTAAAATTCATGAAATCACTTAAAATCGCCCCAAAATCATCTAATTTGTACTTGTGTCCAGTTAAAAGCTGACCACTCAATTTTGATAATGAGTGTCCAATTAACAAGTGTTAATTTCTCAGCCACTGAAAAAATAAACAACCCAATTGATTATTGATGTATAATGATTAATTTTTGAACAGTGGTCAGGAAATTGAATACTTGTAAATTAGATACTCATTATCAAAATTAATCGGTCAGCTTTTAACTGAACACATGCACAAATTGGATGATTTGGAGTGATTTTAAATGATTTTTACAAATTTTTAAACAAAGTTATGATATTGAATGAATGTGAAAGAAATTAGTGGTAAATACACAAGATTAAATAGTACCCAGATTACAGTGATATAATATATTAACATAAACCTAATAACATTTTACGAATCTCCAAGATGATAGTCATTCCTGTTAAAGATGCATTATGTAAGATTTAGGGCTCTAGGACAATTCGTCCCCAGATAACTCGTCCTAGGGGACGAATTATCCGGGGACAAATTGTCTGGGGATAAATTATCCAGGGGAGAATAGTCCTAGGGAACGAATTGTCCGGGAACGAGTTGTCCTGGGACGAATTGTCCCTTACCCAAGATTTAGATAAAGGGCTGCTATAATATATTGAAAATTTCATTCAGATTATTTCATTCAGAGTTAAGTTATGAGTATTTGTAGTTTGGACAAGATGAAGCATAGATTGTTAAGTAGTAATGGTATAGGAGTATTTTATTGTTTCATTTTTAAATCTTGTGTGTGTTTAAATCCATCTAATGTCTAGAGAGAGAGAGAGAGAGAAATGGGGTTTAACGTCCACTCGACACAAACTAGGTCATCTCGGGACTAACATATGGTTTAATTTTATTTCCATAATTCGCTTGCGCGTAGGGGTCTTTAGCAGTGGGAGGAAACCGGAGGACCCGGAGAAAACCCACGAGGTTGGACAGGCGCCCCTACTCCTTGCCACGTACAACCGGGGATTCGAAACCACGCCAGTCGACTCAATAACAGACTGTATGATACAGCGCGCGCACGCTAACCATTCAGCCATCCAACCCCCCCCTAATGTCTAGAAGGTTTGTCATGTGAATAAATGTCTAAATAATACCGGTAGTTTATAAAATATTTGAAGTCAAAATAAAGACATAGCTTTTACATAATGTATCTTTAATTTGACATGGATATCAACTACTGAAATTCATTTCCGAATAGATGTACCAACAAGGCTGACCTTAAAAATATCTTTGTTTCACCAAACCCGACCCACAATCGAGGAGAAGGGTCGGTAGGTCGGGTTTTTTTCAGATTTTTTTTTGAAGAGCTAATTTGACAGCTTGATAATTTTCCGGGTGCAAACATTCGTCTTCTTTTATTGGCAAACAAATCAATGACATCGGCATCGGAATTTTTCTTGATGCACGACTCGCACACAAATTGCGGCAAACTCACGTTTGAAACTCCCTCAACACGTTTTTAACGATCGTGCGGGTTGTGCCTTTATTTTTCTCGAAAACGGATATTGAAAATATCGTCGTCATGTTTAAAACGACGCCCCACAGACATAGAGGCAGAATCATTTCGTGGGAATGGACGTGCTTTCGTCTGCAACCATTTTGTTGAGAAGCGACACCTATGACGCTTTCGTCTTGATCAACCAGTTTCAATAATGAATCAAACCATAGCCATAATAAAGGGAAATAACTCTCGTGATATATTTCAGGTTGACACACAAAATAAAATAAAAAGATCGCGTAAAAGTGCAATAAAATAATTTAAGTCGGGGGTGGTTTTAGTTAGTCAGTCGCGTTAGGCGAAACAAAGATATTTTTAAGGTCAGCCCAATTTAAATCTTTTTCTCCACAGACAACTATGTGGACCCCACAGACTTCAAATTTTCTTTCAGGAATCAAAGTTTGGGAAACATTATCTCACAATGTATGTCTATCAACTTCACCTACCAATTTCCACTGTTTTGTAGGGGTTGGATGGCCGAATATTAAGCTTGCGCATGCTACATCATAAGGTCTGTCATTGAGTCAACTGGCATGGTTTCGATTCCCCGGTTGTACGTGACAAGGAGTAGGGTCACCTGTTCCCTCTCGTGGGTTTTCTCCGGCTTCTCCGGTTTCATCCAACTGCTAAAGACCCCTACACGCAAGCAAATTATTGAAATAAAATTGAACCATATGTTAGTCCCAAAATGCCCTAGTTTGTGTCAAGTGGACGTTAACCCCCACCCTCTCTCTCTCTATCTCTCCATTGTTTTGGCAGAGGAAGACACGCATTAAAACTAATCCCCCATTTTATACTCTGTAGTCTATTTTGTTCACTTGATTCAAATATAAACATTTTGTTACATGATATTGTACTTATAGCATGGCTTAATGATTAATTATTATACAATACAAAAATCCACTTTATAATAAATTCACATTTTCATTGTGCCATGATTTAATCTCTGTAACTTAATCCTAACACCCAATTTTTTTGTCACTGTTCCCCAACATGCATTTTTTGACAAATATAAAAATATTACAACTTAATCCACCTTAAAATGTGCTCAAATTGATTAAAATTTAATTAAGAAAATAAAAGCAACAAAATTCCACCTTAAAATGTGTTCAAATTGATTAACATTTAATTAAGAAAATAAAACCAAAATAATCGTCTATTCACTAGGATTAAAAGATTTTATTCATCACATATAGGTGGCTCTGTCTTGTTAAGGGGGGTTGGATGGCCGAATGGTTAGCACGCGCGCGCTGTATCATATGGTCTGTCTTGTTGCTTGTTGGTGGCTCTGTCTTGTTAATATCGTTGGGAGATGCTACTTGTAGGCCTATTGGGGAGGTTTGGGTGTTTCCCTGAGTCCAAAATGGCCGCTTTATATAAATGAGAATTTTTAGGAATACTAACCCTAACCCTTTTTAGAAGACTGAACTTGGATCCAATTTACCTTTTACCACTCTTAAAAGGGTTAGGGTTAGGGTAAGTATTCCCCAAAATACTCATCTATATAGAGTGGCCATTTTAGACTCCAGAAATACCCGAACCTCTGTCAATACTGTCAGCCGAGGATACCAAATATTGCAAAATTTTCTATTCATCACATGTTTGTAAATACTGAATGGAACTGAACAATTTTGGCTGATATTCCTTTCAGAGATTCTTTAATATTTTTTGATTGATAAGACCATAAGCGTACAGACCGATTTTCCTTGGGAGGGGTCAGGGGTGGGGCTGTATCATTTTTGAACGAAAAATGAATCTCCATAACTTTACCACAAAATCTCGAAAAATAACAACAAGTAGCGCCTAGCCCCCCCCCCCTCCCAGCTCTCACATGTACGTCTATAGAAGAGACAGAGTTGCATTCCTATTTAATCAGCTGATAGTGCCTAGCCCCCCTCCCCCCCAGCTCATACGCCTGTAGAAGAGACAATGTTGCATAACATTCCTATTTTATCAGCTGATAGTCAACACAGAACTCACAATTTTTTCATCCATTGACTGTATAATTCTATTACCAGTTTTTGATGTAAAAATTTGCTATGGCTTTTCAATTGTTGTAATACAGTTAGGGCCAACTGTTGCATGCAGTGTTTTTTAACATGAAATGTAATCTTGGTTCCTTTGAAAACTATTTACGAGCATTCATTGTGATATTGGTTCCTTTTTAAGATGATTTAACAACATGCAATGTAATCTTGGCTCCTTTGAAAACTATTTACCAGGACCGATCTGATTAATAAAATAAAACCAAGTATGAACAATCCAAACCATAAGACAGAATTCGAAGTCCTAAAAAACGTTATAGGCAAAATAGTGTATTCAAGCAAAATAGTGTAATCAGCAAATGGACTGCTCCTCGTGTACAAATTACACGACAAACAG